ATCACCAATTATAATATCTATATTATTGCCCTTAAAGTTATTTAAAAAAGATTCTAAATCTCCCAAAAAAAAGTTTTCATTAATGGATGGGACTCTATAACAAATTAGTAAGGAAATGCCTATGTTATGCCATTTAAAATTAATTACAGTGCAACCTTCGATAATCCGAACCCACGCTAATCCGAACGCAAATCGTGATGCGAAATAGTCCGAACGCCGCCTCTGTAATCCGAACGCTGACAGGAAAAGACCTGCAGCGCGGCCCGCGTCGCCCATATGTAGTTTGATAATTAAAGACCGGACAATTTAATTTATTCTTATCAGCGAAGTAACGGTAAGAGCGGACCTTCGATTTGAATAATACATTCTGAATAAAACAAGTTATTTACTGAACTGGTCGACACAGTAGATAAGATATTGGATTTTTATCGCCCGGGCGTAACATTTGGGGCGGGCTTATTATTACATTTACATTGCAATAATTATTTTATTAAATTTTAGTTCAAATTTGGTTGGATATTATTATATAATTACAAATGATATTATTATTTATTTTTTTATTGTGTTGTGGGATAATGTTGTTGGCTTTTTCTGTTAATATATTATTGACTAATAAATATATCAACGAGGATACACCATCATTAGTTTTATGTTTAGAGTGTTCCAATATACACTCTTTATCCTAAAGTAGCAAATATACAATTATATACAATATATACAATACAAATTAATATCAATCTTCTTCATTTGAAAAATATGTTTGTATGACTGCATATTTTTCTAAATTGTCTTCAGTGAAATTACTTCTTTTAGAAGTCAATAAATCTTTAAACCTAGAAAACGATCGTTCTACGTCACAACTCGTTACAGGAGCAAATGAAAAATGTGGAACAAAATCACAATATTTTAAAGCAGTTTCATAATCGTTAAAATTGTTCAGGGAGATTTGTTTCAGAGTCTGTAAATTTGGATTTCTTTTAATAACACAATCTATTTTATGGTTAAATTTATCTTGTAAGGGCCACTTTACGTTTTTTAAGTGTAACAATGTCGATTCAAATTTTTCCATAGCAACCGATAATTGTAAGTTACGGGTTTCAAGGAATTTTATAGTTTCTGGGAGACACGAAAAATAAGTCGCAAGAAAATTTAACTCCGACTGCAAAGTTGTTTTTGTTATTAAACCTTTACACTGAGTGATAGAGAGAGCGTCCTCTGATAAGTTGGAAATAAATACTTTTAGTCTGTCGAAATGCTCCGAAAAAAAGAACACAGCCTGTAACCAAGTTCCCCATCGTGTAATAACTGGTTGTGGAGGTAGGGGGATATTCGGACATATTTCTTTATATAAAGAAACTCGGGACGGTGCTTTTAACAAAATTTTTTTAAAACAGCTAATCAACGAATTAATGTCTGGAAAGCTGTCACGGATAAACTCACAAACTCGGTGTAACGCGTGAGCAAGGCAAGTTACATGCAGCATGTTTGGAAAATGTTCTTGTAATAGTTTCCCTGTTTTCAACATTACACTTGCCGCGTCTGAAATAAACAATAAAACTTTTGAAACGTCATTATCAATTACATTGTTCAATCCACGTTTCACTATTTCATAAATCATTTCAGCGTTCACAGTTTCACGAAACACACTAGAAACTAAATACTGTTGTGAAGTATTTTCAGCACTTAATAATCCTACAACAACATTAACAACACATCTACCCTTTATGTCAGTCGTTTCATCTGCACTAACCCAAATATATTTGCTGGAAATTTTCGTTTTTATTGCCGTCATTGCTTTATCGTACTGATTTTGAATATAATGTTTTCTAATTGTGGATTCATCCGGTATTTTACGTTTAGTATATTTACAAAGAAAATTTTTGAAAATTGTATTATTTAATTTTGTTAATGGAATATTTGCAGAAACAAATGCGTTGCATAAATCTTCATAAAAGATTTTGTCTGGACATCCCTCTAAAGATTGCATGTGTTTTTGTGTTTTCACATGTTGTGTCATACTTGACTTTCCATTAAAAACTAACACCTGATCACAATTGCGGCAGTATAATTTGTTGTCATTAAAACGACGAAAACAATCAAAGTCCGATAATAAATTTTCCATATTTACGTTTCCAGTTTCTATCACTTTTCCCTTTGAACTAAACAAATATACTCATTGGAAAAATCTAGTGATATTTTTACAAGACACTTTCTTCTCAAATCTCCTGTTTATCGACTCTTTGTTATCTTTTTACATTTTTTCAACCAACAGATACCTATATAGAGTGAGCAATTGAATTAATACATACATTACAGAAATTTAACAGACATTTATTTTATTGTCTCATCGTGTATAAGTACCATAATATCCACAGGAAATAAAAACATAAATGTTTTGTTACAAAAAATCGGTATGTACGGTATCGATAAAAGCCAAAATATTCATAAATATAATATAAGGATTGACTTTATTTGAATAAAAATATCACCGGCAACTAACCGACAATGGATCGAGAAAGTATAAGACAACATATGATGGGCCTATTTGACATTCATTTTAGGCCCTCTCTACAGCGTCTTAGTCCAAACGCTCGTAGAGTCCTAATATTTGGCCCCGATGCAATTTCTCCAACAATGAATCAGGACCAGCTAAGGCTAGAAATTTCCAATTTTCTGGAGGAAATAACAAATTCGGGGGAGGCAGCTGGGGTCCTCGATCCTCATTTTAGGCAGGAGAGTAGTGTACCACGCCAAAATATTGAGGAATAGATATTTTGTAATTATATAAGAGATAATAATAAAAAAAATATCATACAGAATATCGTTTACATTACTACACCTTAAACTCGCTTATGAAAAGTTTAACATCTTCATCAAAAAAGTTATTTTTTTTTAAGGAAAATTTCTCAGGCCACAAATTAAAGGATCTGAGGTTACTAAAAACTTTTGTAAAATATCCTACATATCCTCGGCGTTGGTGAGAAGAAAACATTAAATTTGTTTAATGAAAATGATTCAAAAGACAAAGAATATAGGTACACGATAAAAAAAAATCTCACTTTTTTGTATTAGTTTTAATGTCTATGTATATATCAGTACACTTTTTTTATCTTGTTTTAATAAAAAAAAGAGGTTTGTCCTGATAGTATTAGAATCTGCCGCACTGTCTGCCGTCTTAAATAGCGAACCCAGAATGAGACGCCTATGTGATTAAAACCAATTATTTGAACGCGATTAAAATGCCCGGTCTTTATTGATAATGCATTTAAATGTACAAAAATCAATATACATACATAGATCTAAAGGTCTAAAAATGTGTAAGAGGTGTTTTATTGTATATTCGTTAATCCGAACAATTCGATAATCCGAACAAGGTCTGACAATTAGGTGTTCGGATTAAAGAGGTTGCACTGTATTGTAACTGTAACATTACTTAAAGGTAACATAATATTTTTTATGTCAAAGTTAATGGCATCTCTAATAAAAATAAGGGTTCCATCGTTTTGATTGTTATTACTACCATTGAAGAATGTTTGAAAACCTTGTTTTGTGTAATAATTTTCATTTATGTTTCTTGTTTCCCCAAAGATAATTATGTCCAGGTCTTTTATTTGAAATGTTTCAAGAAATGTTAATAAGGAGTCAAATTTTTTTTTGGCACTACGTATATTAACATGAAAAATTTTTAGCTCAGATTTTTTAAAAAAACTGCTTCAGCACAATATTTGTTATACTGACCTAAGTCATATCTTTGGTTTACAATACAAAGATTTAGTTTCTTCAAGTTCTATTTCATTTAAAATATCTAATTCGGCAGTGCCCATTAATTAAATTAAATTTAAATTAGTACTTAAGTATAAAAATTTTAAACACAAAGAAAAGATACTTAAAAAATATAGACAATTTGTCAGCAGTTTATTTCATTCAGTGTAGTTTATCTTGTGTCTCAGCATATCTAGGTGGAATTTGAAGGTTGGGCAAGCTGGATTTCTGCTTTCATGGTCAGTGGCGTGGTTAGTATTGTATTTCCCATTAGACAATTCAGTTTTTACAATATGTATTTTGTTTAGGACAGTCTTTTTCCATATGTTCATTGGAGCAGATAGGACATCTAATTCTATTACCACAGTCCTCTTTTTTATAATAATATTCCTGACATTTGTAACATTTTGGTACGCCCAAATCTTCATAGCATAATTTATTTAGTTTTAATATTTGATGAAAAACACTAGGGGAACATCCGCATATTATTGTTTTGGTTTTATCTCTGTTTTCACGAATGAAACTTACAGTAACTTCGTCTACTAAGTTATTTTGCTCTTTTAAATATTTTTTAATCTCTTCATGTGTAAAATTTTGTGTGACATTCACGATTTTTATTTTTGGACGTTTAAGTTTACTGACTTCAACCTCGTAGTAATCTTTTAAGGAATTATCTAGTGTTTGTTTAAGAATTTCATCCTCATTTTTTTTTTTTCAAACATTTGATTATCATGTTACCTGCTTTGGTTGATCTAATATTGGTAATTCCAATTTTGAGTTCTCCAGGATTGATACTTTGATTTACATCTTTTTTAGTTTTATTGATGGATTGCTGTTGTTTTGGTTTTACGATAATATTTGGTACGTTGTGTTTCACTATGTTGGTAAATAATGATTAAAAGATATCCACAATAAATCTATAAAAGGTTGAGGTGGGGGAGGCTTTAAGTCCCACCGATAATCCTAATTAAATGTAATCTAATCCCTGATATTTCGGAATTCTAATCACCAGATTTCCCTAAAATGAAAACGAGTAACTATTTATTATTTACAACAGAGAAGATAGCCTTACTAAAAATATGTACCAGCTCGCTTTGATGTGGAAAAATAATTAGAACCACTGTTTCATTCAAGGCTCTACACAAAGCAATAACCTTATTTAATAACTTGTATTATTTGGTTGTCGTTTATTTTGATTTAAGCAGAAAATAAGCTGTTATTCTGACATATTTTTTTAGGTAAAATTCGAAGAGGAGACATCATAGGTGTAGAGGGAGTTCCTACCAAAACCAAGAAAGGTGAACTCTCAATATTACCTTCAAAAATAAAACTTCTAGCGCCTTGTCTTCACATGTTACCCCATCTCCATTTTGGACTTAAAGACAAAGAGACCAGATTCAGGCAAAGATATTTGGATCTGATCCTCAATAATAGGGTACGCAAAATATTCGAAACCCGTGCTAAAATTATCGCTTATGTTAGGAGGTTCTTAGATGAAATGGGATTTTTGGAAATTGAAACACCCATGATGAATATGCAACCTGGGGGAGCCATTGCTAAACCTTTTATAACACACCATAATGAATTAAATATGGACTTATTTATGAGGATTGCTCCTGAGTTATACCACAAAATTCTTATAGTAGGTGGTTTAGACAGAGTTTATGAAATTGGACGGCAATTTAGAAACGAAGGTGTGTATTTATACCGGGTGGTCAAATTAAAGTGTTACAGTTAAATACCGCCGAAAATATGCATTTTAGAAAAAAAAGTTTCAGACAAAAGTTTTATAGTTTTTTTGGGGAAACATTTTGGCTAAATTCATTTTTTTATAGCTGATCATAAAATGGCTATATCGAGGTGGATTTTGTTCTTTTTAAATTGGAACCGCAGTTTTTTTTTACATATTCTTAAAGTTCATAAAAAAATAAGAAACTTTGAGGGAAATATTTTTTTTATTGGACTTTTACTTTTTAAGTAACAGCTACTTGAAAATTTTGCTGCGCGAAAAAAAAGTTGGCCATATTATGGCTAGCTATAAAAACGATTTTAGCCAAAAATTTTTCCCCACAAAACTATAAAACTTTCGTCTAAAACATTTTTTTTTATATAAAAGGCGGTATATAGCTGTAACGCTTTAATTTGAACATCCGGTATATTTAAATATTTTTTTTCTAATAATTTTTTACTTTGTTATAAATGGGACTTAGCTTCATATTTACACAATTTTGTATGTTCATGAATGTTTATTTTTACTGTACTTTAACTACTTATTTTGCTCATTTTAGTGGTTAGTTATTTTTTTGGCTGGTAGTCATTTAGTCTGTAATCAACAATTTAATGATAATTAAAACCAATATGAGTATTTTATAAATAAAAAATTACAGGTATCGATTTAACACATAACCCTGAATTTACGACATGTGAATTTTATATGGCTTATGCAGACTATAATGATCTAATGACAATAACTGAAGAACTGGTATCCGGAATGGTATTCAGCATACATGGAAGTTACAAAATCAAGTATCACCCAGATGGTCCAGAAGGGGAAGAAGTTGAAATTGATTTCACGCCACCCTTTAAGAGACTGTCAATCAACTCAGTTTTAGAAAAGGAACTTAATGTAAAAATTCCAACTGATCTATCTACCAGTGAGGCTCAAGAAATGTTAAACAACCTTTGTATTAAGCATAATGTTGAGTGCACTCCTCCAAGGACAGCTAATAGGTTGCTGGATAAACTTATTGGTGAATTTTTAGAAGAGAAGGCCATTAATCCTACATTTATTATTGAACATCCTCAGGTGATGAGTCCTTTGGCTAAGTGGCACAGGTCTATACCGGGATTGACAGAAAGGTTTGCATTTTTATTTCAAATATTCACTTCTGTAGTAATATTAGTTTTGTCATTAAATTTTACATGTTGAAACATTACAGTTTGCAGAATCTTCACACAGGGTGTAATTGAAATATGTGCAAATATTAAAACTGGATAAACGGAAAGTTCTAACAAAAGAAAATTATTATTTTTTTAATTTGCCTTATTAACTGAAATATGAATTTTTTAAAATTTGAATTTAGAATGACTTACATTACTGTATTGAATTAGAAAGTCTTCTGATTCTAATTTGTTACCTCATGTTTATAGTGTACTTATTATTTATTCATTAAAACAGTTAAGGAGACATCATGAAAAATGTAGAAATACAAGAAAATCCCGAAATCATTTGTCAATTCATCCAAAAGAATAGTAATTTATGTTTTTGAGTGTCACACAATCTGACAGTTTTGATATTTTCACATATTTCAATTACATCTTGTATAGCAAATTATAACCAAATGAAGCAAAGATAATAAAAAAATATAAACATTAATATTTTAGGTTTGAATTGTTTGTAATGAAAAAAGAAATTTGCAATGCTTATACAGAATTAAACGATCCTGCAGTACAGAGAGAACGTTTTGAGCAACAGGCTGCTCTTAAAGCAGAAGGTGACGATGAAGTCCCGCTACTAGATGAAGACTTCTGTAAGGCTCTAGAATACGGATTGCCTCCAACAGGCGGATGGGGTATGGGTATTGACAGGGTGGCAATGTTCCTAACCGATAATAACAACATTAAGGTAATCATGTCTAAATATATTATTTTCCAAAATGATTATTTTTTATCATTCATCTAAAATAGTATCTTAAATTTTTAAATAATTTGTCTTAATTCTAAATCGGTACAATAACATTTTAGATTATTTTTCAAATTTTTGTTTTGAATTAAAAAAAGACAGTAAAAAATGTGTACATCTACTCATTTATTAATGTCAATTTCTAAAATCCCGTGATATATGAATTTCAATTTTCATTCAAGAATGCTCTCAGCCAAATGTCATTTATAGATGTGGTACTGAGATATAACCAATTTCTTCTTATTTCAGGAAGTTCTGTTGTTCCCTGCTATGAAGCCAGATGACCCAAATAAGAATAAAGAAGAAGAACCAACAGAAGCAATTGGAGATATTAAGTCATAAGGAAAAAAAATTGAATTTAATATAATTTTTATTTATATTTTGATGAATCAAAAATAAACATTTAGAAAGAGATTGGACTTTCATTAGTTAAGAATTAGTTTTGTAATTAATATCTTTTAACATGTTTTGATGTGAAAACTGGAGCTTGTTTTTTCAAAAACAAAAAAAATAACATTTTTAAAAGGGATAGTTGCTGCCCTTGCTTAATTTATTTTATATTTACAAATTAATTCATTTATATGTTAACAGAAGGGATGTATCATTCCTAATAAAAATGTCTAAACTGCTTTTTCAATGGTTTAATTCACGATCAAGTATTCTCAATTACAATGTTGATGTGGCATTGCCACTGTCTATTCACGTACTGTCTACTATGCTGGTCTTCCTTCTACTGCTCGTCCATCCTGACACGCATGTGTATGGACTTGGAGAATGTGTGGTGGGGAGCAGAGGTACATCGCTAACACGGCCATCCTGCCATTGGTGCGTCCTCGCATCACACATCTAGAATTACTAAATACGAAAACAGAACTACTGTTATGACTTACGAGCGGGTTAAGACGAGCTACTTCATGGCAGGTAAACGCCTGCCATTCAATGTTAAAATGTAGAAGCTGTCCAGACGAGCGGCTGAAGGGAAGCGACGAAATGGCGACACGGGCCACTTTTGTCGTCAACTTCTACTAACATTGGTAGATATATTTTATTTTGATTTTAGGGGTTCAGTATTGAGTAATATGGCGTTCGATGCAGATCGATTTATAGTTGAAATAGAACAACGTCCTGCTGTTTGGAACAGCAGTTCGAAAGATAATTTGAATAAGGATAATTTCCTGATCGTAGCAGAATTTTATATAAATAAAAATTTCCTAGGTTTATTCGGTCATATTATTTTATATCATTTAGAACACACTACATATGTTTCTAAAACATTTTTTCCATCTTCGGGTGCAGTCAAAATTTAATAAAACTTGGGGACAATTACAAACAGTTAAAAAAAATTAAAATAAAAGAAACCCCATCTTTCTGTTTCAGTGTATGAAGAAAATAATGTTTATTTGAAAAATATAAAAGATACATATTAAATATTACAAAGCACAAATAAACAAGAAAGAAAAACCACGAAGCCTACTTGTGAGTGGTCATCATAAATAAATAAGGTAAAATAAGTAGTATAAAAATATTCTTATTAAGACATATAGCAATAGGGTATTAAATAGTTAAGCTTGGGAGGAAATTTGGTGTAATTTTTATAAAAATATTTAAAGTAAGGGATTCTAGTACAAAGAACAAGGCATGTAAGTATCGCTAGAATGAGTACTTCCTGGTCCCGAGTCCATAATGACACTGACAAATTTTAATTACCTTCCAACAAGAGCCTACCATGGAATCGCGCTACTCAGTAGCTAGCACGTCCACAGGAACGGCCAGTGGTCTCCACTCTGTGGCGTTGGTCGCCACTCTGTACACTTCACTTAGCAGCGCGACTGAGTGGCTCGTCTGGACAGGCCCTTACGAACATTAACAGTAATGTTCTTTTTAGACGCTAAACCATTAATTAATCTTTCAATTAATGTTGGTGGAATTGCCACTATTATAGTAAACATAGTGGGATCGCCACTAACTACCTTTTCAATTAACGTTAGTGGGATTGTCACCAATTACTTTTTTTAATTAATGGTGGGATTGCCACCCTAACACTAAACACTAGTGCTACAACATCAAACACTGGTGCTACTTTAATATGATTTATTTAATTAAATTTGGTGCGATCGCGACTCGCTAACACTAAGCACTAGTGATACAACACTAAACCCTAGTGCTACAACACCAAACACTGGTGCTACTGTAATATCATGATTTATTCAATTAAATTTGATGGGATTGCCACCCTAACACTAAACACTAGTGCTACAACACCAACCACTGGTGTTACTTTATTATGAGGATTTATTCAGTTAAATTTGGTGGGATTGGCCACTTTAAGTTAACAAAAATAATTATTTTAATTTTATATTGTGGGACTCACTCACCGTTTTTATAATTACTACAATGACGATAGCCTTAACTGATAGTCAGCGGCTACTGTCGTTCGCTGCCCTTTTTGTAAAGTTGATATCTTTCATGTGATAATACCACTGAACTGTAACTGTATAGAGTTTAGTGGGTAATACCATTCGAACAGTGTAAGGGTCATTTTTATTTGGGCCTCAGTTTTCCTCCACCTGAGAGATGTGTGAATCTTCAATAGCCACGATATCGCCTGGCTTAAATAATAGGTTTGTTCCAACACAATAGCAAATCGGTTTCCGTACTGTCGGGATTCTGCGCAGTCTAGATTTGATGTTCCAACAAACTTCGGACTCAAAACTGTACAAAACCTAGTGTTCCAACACACCCAAACCTAATCACAAACCAGTTTCTGTACTGTCAAATCAGTTCCTGGGTGTGAATATGAACGAATTGTCAAGATATGCGCAAAACGAAAGTGAGCTCGTAAATAAACCACCACCAACTCTAAAAATCGAATAAACAAAATTTATTAATCTTTTTATGAGTTTTATAATTTTTTTACTTCCCAAATTCAAAATTTTACATTTGTTAAATTTGGTTTTACTTTGACGTTATTAACAGAGTGTGTTTGACAACACAAAAATGCGTGTTCCAACATATCCAAGTTTCGAATCGCGTCCCAATCCTCGACAGGTCGTCGACTATCAGTCGTCGACAATAAGCTGTGGACTGGTTTATGTATGGTCCCAAAATTGTTGTTGGAACAAACCTAATGTGGCCCGATGTCTAGTTTCATTGAATCGTTGACCTTGACTTGACAGTCTTCAATTTTTTTTGTGTTGTTGTGCTACTACGACGGCCTCTTCAGGATCAATAAACGAATCATTAGGTGATTCACTTCCCAAAAATTGCTGAGTTGCGGCTAGTCTTGGATTTTCCCGAGATATAGTCAGTGCGCTGCCAGGTCTACTGATTTTTCAGTAGATCTACTAATCTACTTGTTCTATCCTATATGTGAAGACTCATCATTATATAAAGTCATAATAAACAATCGCGCTGCGACGAACACAAACTATTTCCAAAGTTTTGTTTTGGTTATGAGTATGTCCTTCTTAAGGCCGCAGTATCACTGTATTTTTCATATAAGAAGCAAGGGTTCACCATTTCCAATTGCATTTAAAGTAAAGGAGCAGCAAGAGTTCTAAAACAAGCCCCATAAGAAATCGCTAAGGTTCATTCTGGCAATTTTTGTCTAAATCAAGGTCACACCATCTCAACTAACTCGTCGAGCCACCAACGGGGGAGTGGGGGAAGCGGCGGAGTGGGGGGGAGTTAAATCTCCTTTAACGTCGAACAAAAAAATCATGCCAAAAGGGCCTTAGCGTATATCTCAGCTATCGTTGGGCCGATTTAAACGGGGGAAACGGGGTTATGTAGAGATCGTGGTATAGATTAAGGTCGAATAAAATTTTTGCTTCGAACGAAAAGCCAGAAGGGCCTTAGCACATATCTTCACTTCACGTGAACGCCTATCGCATGGCCATATGACCATCCTAAATGCTAATGATTGCCACTGCGCATGTGTACTTGCGAATGGCAACTATATGACGTCTCACGTGGAATGTCGTTTTCCCCGTTCGAATCAGTTTAATAATAAGAGAGATATAAGCTTGCAACGTCGAGGCTACATCGCTTCTTCTTTCACACTTTGCAAATGTCATTTAGCTGTCATTTTTTTTTCGTATGTATTCATTTTCCCTTGTTGTAACGTGTGTCCCTTGCGTTGCAAGCGACGCTAACGATGTACACGACGCAAGCGACGCACGAGATGCAAGCGTGGCAAACGTTGAAAAACGGCAAAAACGATGTTTTTGAATGCTTCAGAACGCACTATGATGTTTGATGACATTGTCAACGTCATGTGTCAAGCGTCTCGTTTAAACGTTCTGTGTTTCTATGCGCGCAGGTGGTCCGTCACTGCGTATGATTTTTTCTGTACGATGTTTTTCGACGATTTTTCCCATTTAAATCGGACCACTACGCTAAGGCCCTTCTGGCTTTACATATGATTTTTCTGCTCGACGTAGTAATGATATGATAATTTCAGCTAGATAACAGTTAAAAACCAATAACGATACGTTAATGCCCTTTTGTCTTTTGATGGTAATTCTTTTGTTGGAAATTACAGATGATAGTTCAAGCTGAATACCGTTTGCCTCGTTTGAATCGAACCACGTGATACATGCTAAGGCTTTTCTGGCTTTACACAAAAATTCTCTTGTACGTTAATCTATACCACGCTCTCTACATAACTCCGTTTTCCCCGTTTCCCCCAACGATAGCTGAGATATAAGTAAAGGAGCAGCAAGAGTTCTAAAACAAGCCCCATGTTAAATCCCATAAGAAATCGCTAAGGTTCATTCTGGCAATTTTTGTCTAAATCAAGGTCACACGTTACCATCTCAACTAACTCGTCGAGCCACCAACGGGGGAGTGGGGGAAGCGGCGGAGTGTGGGTAGTGGGGGAGTTAAATGTCCTTTAACGTCGAATAGAAAAATCATGCCAAAAGGGCCTTAGCGTATATCTCAGCTATCGTTTCCATATATATTTTATTGTTTAATTTCGGTTTTACATCTTCTATCTTAAAAATTATGGCATCTGTCAATAAAAATCCAATAAAAAAGGTCCCATTCTTAGACAACATCTCTATACCGAAGATATTTCTTAATTAGAAAGCAATTATCGATTGCTTTTATATTTAGCATTGTTATGCATTTATGCCACTGATCTGTATTATTTTACTGGATAGGATATAGCCCCCTAAAAAACGTTCCGAAAAATTGGCCGATTTGGGCAAATAATATGGCGGACCGGATGTTATTTAACATAAAGTCTATTTCCATTTGTCATCACATTTGTCATTTAATTGTGTCAACAAGTTATGACGAGATGTTTTTTTTATTTATGTAGGTAGTATCGGATAGCATTACTATGATATAAACAATAAACGTTCTTTCGTGAAGACACAATATGCTTCACGTTTTCATTTTTATATTTTCTTTCATAAAAAAATCAAATCGTGGGTGAACTGTCCCGAAGAACATTGCCCGCAAAAGGAATAGAAGAAGAATAAGAAGAAAAACTAATCAACTTATAGGTTAGGTATGTCAAATTATCCCAAAATTCAGTTCTGTGAACCCACCATAATTTGCCCAAATCGGCCAGCAGTGTTGCACTT